TCGCCGGCGCCCTGGAGTCCGTGGATGAGGATGCGCGGCACCAGCGGCCTCTGCAGCGCAGGCGGCGGCGCGCTCGGGCCGCGGTACAGGTAGAGCGCGGCGCCCGGGTCCAGGTTGGAGACCAGGCTCTGTGGGTAGAAGTAAGGCGACGGGAACATCCGCTGGAGCGCAGAGTAATTGCCTGCTTCCGCCAGCAGCTCCAGCCCGACGGCCGTCTGTCGCTTCCATTTAGTCCTGGGGACCGAAAGAAAAAAGTACGGCGGGGGTCACGACTGGGACACCAGGGACCCCTGCCGCTCCCGAGTGCTGGGCCCAGAGAGCCTGCAGGGCTAATAAATTCCACAAGGCCCGGCACATGCATTCTCTCCTTTTTTCCTTATTTTTTATTTGGGGTTTTTTTTTTTTTTTTTTTTTTGTGTTTTTTTTTTTTTTCCAGCACCAGGAATCGAACTCACAACCTTGCGCTTGCCAGGCAGGCGCTGTGCCGCTGAGCTAAATCCCCGGCCCGCATTCTCTCCTTTAATTTCCCCCTGGATTTCCATGCTATGATCCCCATTTTACAGATTTTAAAACTGTGGCATGGTGGTGCACACCTATAATCCTAACACTCTGGACAAATTAGACCCTGTCTCCAAATAAAAAATGGGAAAGGGCTGTGGATGTAGTTTAGTAACAGAGCGTCCCTGGATTTAATCCTAGTACCGAGCAGGGAAAGGAGAGTAAGGCATGGGCCAGTTGCAAAGATCTAGAAATCGGCAGTCTGAGGCTCCAAGCCAAGCTTTTTGACCCCAGAGCTGGGGGGTCAAAACCTTCTGCTCTGGGGATCGCAGTCGCCTCCTGTGGAGCTGGGCCTTGGGGCTCCCCCTGCGTCTGTGTCCCCTGGGAGGACCCTGAAGGCCGCAAGGACCAGGAGAGGGCAGCAAAGGTGGAGGGGTCTGGCTGCTAGGCAGAGTCCGGGTAACCCTGGAGCCCATCTCTGCAGGCGCAGGCGGGCAGGCAGGCAGGACACGGGGCAGGACGTGGCACCGGAGAGGCCGTGTGCCCAGCACACACACCTTAGCTCCTCCAGAGGGCAACAGCACCCGCAGCGCGGGGGAGGCGGACACCGGCCAGCCAACCTGGCCCTAGTGAGGTGGGCTCAGCCACACCAGCCCTGGCGCCTTCCCTGAATTATTCATCATCATCATAATTGTGTGATTACTGCAACAGGCCTTAATTATTGATGCCCGGAGCACTAATCGGTATTTATTATTAATGGGGCTGCGTGCTCCGAGGCTTGTTTATGGGAAGCACCATTCCTGCCTTCGTTAAGTAGGTGACTGGTGTGTGTGTGACCTTGGGTCGTGTCGCTGTGTGTCCATGTATCACGCGGGTTAAGTGTGTGTGCGTGTCATACCTAAATCCTGCGGATGATTTTTGGAAGGTTAGGAAACCGTTTCCAGAGAAGTGCCCCAGCACCGATTGCCCAGTCCCTCTATCCCAGGGAGCCTCTGAGACCAAGTGCCCCGGGAGCCCTTTCTGCAGGGAAGAGCCCAGGCCCCCCGTGTGCCCTGGAGAACGGAGGCTGCCCCCAAGGGCACTCAGAGCGCAGCACCAGGGCCTGCTCCTCCTAACATCCAATGCCCCTGGGCCTGACCACCTGTTCCGGATGCCTAGGCTCCTTCCCGCTGCCCCTACTGCAGGGCTTCCATCGAAGTTTTCGCCCCTCAGGGGCTCAGTTTTCCCACTTTTACCGAACTAGGGAGTGGCGGGGGCCTTTCCCAGGTCTCAGGCTGTGGACTCTGCAAGGATCTGCAAGGAAAGAAGCGCCCCTTCCCAGGTCCGCAACACAGCGCAGGAGCCTCACCTGCGGTTCTGGTACCAGGTCTTGACCTGCGTGTCGGTGAGGTTGAGCGAGGCCGCCAGCTCCATGCGGTCCTGCACGCTCAGGTACTTCTGCCGCTCGAAACTGCGCTCCAGCTGCGCCAGCTGATGGTCGGTGAAGGCCGTGCGTGCCTTGCGCGGCTTCTTCAGGCGCACTGGGGGGCTGTCCCGGGAGCTGGAGATCTCGCGGTCGCCCTCCTCCTTCACTGCGGAGACACAGCGGTGCGTTAGGGCCCAGCCTCACCGCGCGCCGCCCGGGTCCTCCCACTCCATCTCCTGCCTCGCCGTGGAGTCCCCGTAGACACGGTCCCGGCCGCTATGGCCCCGCGGCGCCCAAGCCTGCAGGGGCCGCGGCGCAGTTACTGGAGCCGGGACACATCCACCCTGCGAAGAGGGATGGAGAAGAGCACCCGAGGCTGACGCGCCCCCGCAGCTCCGGGGAGAAAGAACCCGAGCCCCGCAGAGAGCAGAGCCGCCCAGTCCCCGCCGCTCATGCACCCAGCCTGCGCGCACCGTGGAGACAGAGAGGGAGCCCCAGGGAGCGGGACTGACCCCCTCCTCCCAGGCAGGAGACCCGGGTCCCGCTGTAGGAGCCGCGCCCGGGCCCCTTCCGCTCCGCCACGTCGGGGAGGGCAAGGGAGGGAGCTGAGAGCCGAGACCCAGAGAGAAACCCGCATGGGGGGACAAAATCCCGCTCACCCCGCAATTCCCTGTCCTCAGGAACACATAACTGTGTCCAAGCCTCATGTGACCCCCACCTAGGTGCGGATCTGTAGCAACGGTTTCCCCGGGCGCCGAAGGCTGCCTGCGAGCTGCGCGGAGGAAGGAGGGCCGCGCGCCGGGCGGAGAGCGCCGAGCACCAGGGAAACAAGCGGCTCCCGGCGCCTCGGCCCGGGCCGCCCGCACCGCGGGGCCTGGTTTTCCTTGTCAGGGCTCTGCCCTCGGTGGCTCCCGCTGCACCCGTGTGACGATCACGTTTGCAGCCCTAGATCAGGACACGACAGCGCCGGGTCCCCACTCCTGAGGACCACAAGTGGGCCCTGCCCGGGAGCTTTCTTTTCCCCCACTTTCGTTGGGGTTGACTGTAGAGAAAGCGCACACTTACACAAGCTCCACTTACACAAGCTCCGCGCTCTCCCTCCTCCTTTCCCTAAAGAGACTATGTAACCGCGTAGGCAACCTCTCCAAAACTGAAGGCGCAGGCTGCGGCTTCCCCCACGTATCCCTCCCCTTTTTTCTTTATTTTCTTTTATGGCGACTTTCATTGTGCATGCCGTTTGCAGTGACAGCGTTCAGCTGAATGCGAGCTGATTTCTCTCTGTAGGAAACAATAATCCGGTTAATTGAGCCACGGGGGAGCGGGGCTTTTCAACTGGAAACGCTGCACTTCCTGGGCAGGGAGGGCGCCGGCCGCGGGTGCACCCAGGCAGCGCACCAGCCGGAAAGCCCCCGGGAGGGACGGCCAGCCGAAGCTTCCGCCTGCCTCCTGCGCTCTCCTTGCCCGGAGAACTGGACTCTGGGCACCATCAGAGAGAGCCAGGGACCGATTAGCAAGAGGGGAAAATGAGTTGTGTGTGTGCAGGTTGGGAAAGTTTAAATAAATTCAAAGCGATGATTATCCAGACCTCAAACTTGATATTGCAGAAATCTTACTATTCGATCTAATTATCTGAACTTTTCGTAAAAAAGAATCCCCTGCCGAGGTAGAATGGACCAGCTGGGGGTTTTAAAAGCTCAGCCCCTCAGTGCAGGATGGAACCTTAAAGGCACACTTGGAACCACCCTGTCTCAGCCTCCGGGATAGACACAGCCAGCAGGACCTCCACTTCCCAGACTTTGTTATGGAAGCCACCTCTCAGCATCCCGGAGTCTAAGTCCCAGTAGCCCTCCTTGCCTGGAGCAGCCCTGCTTTGGCTTCTCCCTGGACCTAGGCTGCAGCCCTTCGTGTACGGACCAGCCACTCAGGAGCCTCACTTCAAAGCCTGGTTTCATCTTTGTGGACATTACATTTGAAGAGCCTTTGATACCAAAAGCGTAGGAGCCTGCTTTTTCTCCGCTGCCCTCCTTGGAGGAATCTCTCAGGGTGGACAGCGGCTGGCTGGTGTAGTTGGCTTAAATGCCCGCACGGGCTGGCTCCCACGGCCTCCGTGGCTCTGTCTCCCCGTTGGGCTCTGAAAGTCACTCCATGTTTGACGAAAGCTCCAGGCACGGTCTGTGTGGTCCATTTCTACTCTCCTTGTCACTCCAGGGCTTTTTTAGGTATAAAGGTGGCAGCTCCTAGGGGCTGGGGAGACCTTCTATCCCTTCTACTCCAGACCTAGTTAAGTGATGTGTGGACAGTCGGCCCTCATGTCACCTTCCTGATCAAGTATCATCAGGGAAGGGAGGAGAAAATTGATATTCCAATTATCTTGAATGAAACCTCTCAGGAACTCACTGTTGATGTACACAGGGCTCTTCCCCCTTGCTTTCACCCGATGATGGGAAGTTGTGGTTGTTGTTATAAATTGTAAATAATAAAATGTGATGCTATAAATTATATTTACATCATCTACATGCGTGTGCACGTGCGCACACACACACACACACACACACACACGGAGGCGCACCTGTGTTTCTCCAGGACAAGTTTTCTTTGCCTCCCTAAATAGGTCCCCAGGGAAGGAGCAAGGGTCTCTGGCCTAAGGCCCCTAAGTGCCTCTAGATCTCTTCCTGGGTGCTCTAGTTGAACGTGTCCATTATCCAGGGGCGACTGGTCGAGCGTGGCTGAAGGAGGCTTGGCCCCACCGTTTGCATAGAGGAAACGGGGAGAAACGGGATGTGGAGCAGGACCCCAGAGGGGTTCGGGATTGGTGTCAGGATCAATCCTCAGATGAACTCTTGGTTGGGAGAGGCGTCGATGAGCCTTCCTAAAATTTGTGAAGGTTTGGTGGACTAGGGACCAGGAGATGCAGACCCCCAGACAATAAAGGGATTGCCTTTATAGGGAAATGTTTGTCTCATGAGAAGGGGTTCAGGAATTAATTACAATACGAAAAGAGCCACGAGCAGCTTTTGCCAACTCCTAGTTTTCCGCTGGAGCACAGGCCACTCAGGCTGTCTCCTCCAAAGCCCCATGGAGATCTGTGGCTCTCCCCCACTTCACCTCTTGACGTCCTCCCAGAAAGAACTCGATGCCTCCGGCCCCAGCGAGCCAGGTAAAGGTCTAAAACAAAATGAGCGTACACTTTCTTCCCTTTTCCCTCCCCTCTTTCCTTTGATCTCATTTTCTTCCCCCTTTCCTCACAAGCCTGATCTCAGCCTCTTGGTTAAGAGGGAATGAAAAGGGGGCAAATCAACAGAAAAGATCCACTGAGTAAAAAAAGACAAGCAAAGGGGCAGCAGCCCCACCTGGGGGAAGCAGGGTTGGTTACTCAAGAATCTGGGTCTCCCACACAACCTGGACTATCGCTAGAACTTAAAGCAAAATTCACTGCGGACCGCTGTGTGGGCTCGGGGCCCTTCCCTTTCCACCAGACCTCTGAACCTGCTCCAGCCAGTGCTGAGCTGCCATTTCTCCTTTGAAGTCAGTGTTTCTTTGCAAGATTCACAGGCCCGGATGCCCTGAGCCCAGTGGGAGGGAAAGGCCTGTTTTCCATGGGCGTGGGGGATTTCAGATTAAAGGGCCGAACATTCTGACTGTACTAGAGTTCCAGCTGAAAATTTCCTGCCAGAATCTCACTCCTGTAAAGAACACTTTTCCCTTTGGGGCTTCCATTCCCTAAAGGTCTCTTCCCAGATATCAGTGGCTGGAAAGGACCCTGCTCCTGCCAAGCAGGACCACTGGTAGAAGGGTGGTGGTCCCAGGCAAAGTTTCAAAAGTTTGCTTTGCGCATTTGGGGGGTGGCTCACCTCTCTCTCCCCAGTCCGCTCTCTCCACAGCACCCTTTGTTGCTCAAAGGTCCAGCATGGGGCAGACCAAAGGGCTCAGACGAGACCAACTGCTCAGCCTGAGCCCTGGGGGAGCGAGGTGAGCACGTACACGCTTCTGAGCGCTCGCGCTCAAGTTTTACACCCATTTTTAGCCATATACCATCCCCCGAGCTTTCGCCTCCCGTTTCCTTACCTTTGTACTCAGAGTCTGAAGAGGCATTGCTGCCACTTTTGTCCAGCTTGTCTCTAAAGTCCTCCCCAGCCTTGGCCGCAAGACGGCCCCCAGGCTCCGGGGCTGTGGGCTGCCCGCTGCTGGAATAGGGTGCACAGGCCGCGAGAGGTTTGCAGTCAGCAAGGATGTCCCTGATTAGAAAGGAGGAGGTGACGGTGCGCGACTGGGCAGGGGCTGAGAGCTGGCCCGGCTGCAGATGGGAGTCCAAAGCTGGGCCGGATGCCCCACCAGGCCTCGGGGTTCCCGTCTCCAGACAGTCCCTTCCCGGTGAGGCTGGCGAAGAGCAGTCGCTGCTGCTCTCCGAGCGTGGACTCAGCTCCAGGGGTGAGCGGCAGTCCCCGAGCAAGTGGTCCCCCTTGGGAAGGGCGGGGCTGCCCGCGCGGTGGGAGAGAATGGAGTCGATCCCAAAGCCATTGGAGCCTTCCATCGCCAAGCTGCGACCTGTCCTCCCCGAAAGCTCCCCACCCACCCCCAACCCCAGCCGCCGCTGCCCCTGCCCCTAGCTGCGGGCTGGCATGGGGAAGGCGGGCAGGGAGCCTGCGGGCACCTTGGACGGAGTTCAGCCTCGGGGGAGCCCGGGAGCTCGGGGCCAACCTCCTCTGCGCATTAGATCCAAAAGGGCTCAGCGCGTCTTCTGCAGCATCGCGCGGAGCCGCCGAGGAGCCGAGGGGGGGTGGTGGGAGTGTCAAGAAGGAATGGGAGGAGGGCGCTCCAAGTTGGGGAGAGCAAAGGGGGAGACGGACGGTCTGAGGGCCCCTTTGGCACGGAAGACAGGCGAGGATGGTGGAATCTAAATAAAGGACGGATTTGAAAATCCAAACCGTGCGCTTCTTCCAGGCAAGTGGTGGCCGAAGGCAGCGGGGTCAGCACCGCGGAGAGCAGCGGGCCCAGGCCGGGCTACCAGCCGGCGGCACGGAGCGCACCTGGCGGCGTCAGCACCGCGGAGAGCGGCGGCGGCCGGCGCGGCATCCCGCTTCCCCTGCCCGCAGGTCCGCCTGCGCCCGCGCCCCGCGCAGGGGCCCGGTCAGCACCGTGGACAGCGCCGCGCGGCTCCTCGCTGCTGCTCTCGGCGCGCGCCTGAGCCTCCCCCCTTCCTTTAAAAAATGAACTTGTGTCACTTTTACTTTGGGGCTGGGTTTTTTTTTTTTTTTTTTTTTGGTTGTTGTTTCGCTCTTTTTTTTTCGCTGTGTTGTGTTTTTTTTAAGGGGACTCGCCCACGTGTCCCCGGAGTGACGGCGCTGATTGGCTCTGGCCGATTTTGGGGGTGATGTCACGGCTCCGCAAGCCGCTTCCCGATTTCTTTTCAGTTTGATTAAAAGAGACACTGAATTAATTACGGCACAGACCCAACTGTTTACCGGCGATTTCCACACGGTTTGCTTTCATTAGGCCGGTGATGAAGCCCCTAATGAGGGTGATTAGCCGAGGGGGTACGGGCTGCGGGGGGAGGGGACAAGCCGCGCGCCCCGGGTCAGGATGTGCGGGTTCGAAAGCGGTTTCTGAACGTTCTCAACGCTTCCCCACAATGATTCACCTTCCTCGTCTCGAGTCTCTCCTAGATTCTTTTTCTTCCCCCATTTTAATTCTTCCAGAAATGGGAAGGTCTTCAACCCAGCGAGAAAGAAATGCGTGTACACAGAGAATCCCTTTCCTAGTGCAGGGAAGAAAATTTAATTTCTGTTGCTCTCAGGACGCTCCCGCTGGGCTCTAGGTGCTTCTCGGGGAGGACAATTTGCCACCCTTTCTTTTTCGTCTCCTTGGGCTCCGCAGTCCTGGTGTCCTGGGAAGTGACCTGAACAGTCTCCGATGGCTTTACCCTGGGTCGGAGGTGGAGACCGTGGGAAAACCTCCAAGGTTGTGGGGTGAGGAATCCTGCGGCCCGAGGAAGGCAGCGAGGGACAAAGAAGCAGTGACCCCTCCTGCCTATGACCTCCCTCCCTCCGCCGCAACCCAAGTCTGGGAGCTGGTGCTTTGTACCTGTAAACGAGCATGGGGGTAGACGGCTGCACAAGGCTGCCTTCGGATTCCACGCAGGGCCGGGGCTGGCCCTGGATGCGTCCCAAAGGCAGCCTTGTAAACACGGCGTCTTCCCTGAGAACACGGCAGCCCCTTGCCCCGCACACACTGCCACGGGGCTCGGGTTTCCCTTTCTGGGGTGCTGGGCAGATCCTGGGCAGATCCAGACCGGTCCTGGGCCTGGATCCTCTGGGAACAGCCCCGGGGTCTGTGAGCCGACCTCTGCGCCTTCACGGCGGCCTGCGCCCCAGCCCAGGCCTCAGCCTGTCCCGCCGAGCTCCTGCTGCCCACCCTGGGCCCCCAGAAAGCTGCCCCAGGTGCTGGGTCGGCACGGAGCCTGGAATCGTTAGGCGCTCACGTCACCAAACCCGAGACGGGTGGATGCCCGTGAATCCCAGAGCAGCACAAACTTTCTCCTCCCGCGGGCTGGGTCACCGCGGCCTCGCGCCCAGCTCCACGCACTCCCCCCGCGCCCGGCGGCAGATTGGAAGCGGCCAAGCCGGCGGCAGGGCTGGGGCCGAGGACCGGCGGCTCCCGGGGGACTCGGGCTTGGGCTCGGCTGCAAGCTGTCGGGCAGGCGGGAGAGGGGGCCTGGCCCCAACTCGGCCGCCTGCTCTGGGCCTCTCCCGCCACAGGGCCTTGCGGGCCAGTGGTTCATTTGAGATTGGTGGATGGGGATTGGGCAATAAATCAAGCGGAGCTCGGGCTGCCCTGGCCCTTCTCTGCCGGCCCCCAGCTCGGCCTCTCCCCTGCTTCAGGAGACGGGGAAGACCTCACCTCCCTCCCCTCCGCCCTCCCGCCTCCTGCTTCTCCCAGACTCCATTTGCGTCCCTGGAGAGCCCTCCTTTACTGGGGCGTCCAAGTTCGCTCTCTGTGCCTGTTGGGGGGAGACAGCGTGAGGGCCCCATGGCCCAGGAGGTCTGGCGTCCCCTGCCAGCAGCGGATCCCAGCAGCCTCTGCCCCAGCCAGCCTGGGAGTGCTGCGGCCATGCTGGAGCCTTTTCTGGCCTCTGTCTTGGGCTGGGGCTTAGATCTGGGACCGAGACAGAGCAGCGGGCGGCGCTAGGTGCTACCTGATCAGAGCAAGAGCCGGGTGGAAAGGAACCTGGGGGACCCTGACCCCCTGCAGCCCAGCCAGCTTCTCCGTGCTGCTTGGAGGCCGGAGCATATTTAATGGGTCGTTAGTGTGCTCTCATTTGCATTGAATTATCGCTGTGTGTTATAATATAAACCATGCTAGGGGAATTATTTCGTTTGAGATTTACTCTAGGATTTAGCTCTCTCGCTAACATGGTTTTATTCCTATTGGGGGCTCTCTGGTGCCCCAGGAGCCTCCCCTCCTCGCTCCTCCTTCATCCGGGTCTCGCGTGCACCCCTACCTGTCCACAGCAGGGGCTTGTGTGTGAGCGCCCATGAGCTCGTGTTTAGCTGGGCAGGAGGGAGGAACGGGCATGTTTCTAAGGATCTAGGAGACCCTTGGCAAAGAGACCCAGGGGCAGGAGGCCCTGGGGCTCTGAGGTCCGAAGGAGCAGGCCATGAACGCTGGCGAGCTGCCTGATCTCTCCCTGGCCCCCTGACCTCAGCATTCCTTGGGGCTTGGCAGAGGGGCTCCAAGCCCCGTGCCGGGCTGTCCTGGGGCCGGGCCCAGCCTCTCCGCGGCCACCCTGCTGGGTCCCTGTGTTCAGGACCTCGAGCCCTTCCCCGCTCCCTCTGAAGCCTCTGCCTCCCTCGCCAGCCCTGCTCGCCTTCCCTTACGATTGCTTTCTTTGCGATATTTCGCCTCTCCTGGGCCCAGAGCTCTGCAGGTCCAAGACCACCCACCGGCAGAGGTGAGACCACAGGTGGGCACACGCTGGGCAGCTCACCTGGGTTCCTTTGGGTCCACGTCCTTCCCAGCAGGGCTCCGGGCCAGCCGGGCTTCCCTCCTTCCCAGCCCCCTTCCTCTGCACCTCACACGCTCAGCCCTGGGGCTGCGGAAAGGGTTGTTTTTGCCCATTTTGCTCACCTGGATCAACAGGCAGAAACGCAGGCCAGGGGAGCGGTGCTGAGCATCTTGCAAGAATACTCTTGGGGGTGCTGGGGATTTAGCTCAGTGACACAGCGCCTGCCTGGCAAGCGTGAGGTCATGAGTTCGATTCCCGGTACCGGAGGAAAAAACAAAACAAAAAAAAAGAGAATACTCTTGGGGTCTCTGCTCACCTAGCATTGTGCCCCAAAGGCAAAGGCCATCACCCAGGCATGCAGGGGCAGTAAAATGGGGCTGGAAAGGTCAAGGACACCACCCCAATCAGCAGAGGAGTTTGAATCCCGCCTCTAGAATCCAGGGCTGCGACATGGTACATCAGCAAATCCTTACTTAAAATGTTGGTGTTTCATCCATCGTGGATTTTATTTTATTTTATTTTATTTTTGGTTTTTCTCTGGTACTGGGAACCGAACTCATGACCTTGCGCTTGCCAGGCAGGCGCTTTTGCCGCTGAGCTAAATCCCCAGCCCCCATCGTGGATTTTAAAACACTGATTTAAAAATACTGCATGAAAACATTGTCTTGATCAGCCTGGTGTGGCGGCTCACGCCTGTAATCACAGCATTTGGGAGGTTGAGGCAGGAGGAGCCCCATGAGTTCAAGGCCAGCCTGAGCTACAGGTGAGCTCAAGACCAGCTTGGACTACGTAGTGAGACTCTGTCTCAAACTCCCCAACCCAAAGAATAATAAAATAAAATATTATCTTGGCTACTGAGGTTTTTTGGTACCCATTAAATTTTGTACCTCAGATAGAATATGTACCCGTCCTTCTCAGTGACCCCTAAGAGGATTAGGTGATATGTTTTTTAAAGCAAATAGCTTTGTGAACTTTTGGGTTTTCGATCTATAAGACGGGATGATGTTAATTCTCATGGCTGTTGTAGGGCACCCTGGCACTTGGCCTGAAGAGTAGTGATTACAAAGCTCTCAGTACAAGCACTGCTGCTCACAGAGCATTTCCTCTCGGCAGGGGAGAGCCCCCAGGCCTGGCGCACCGCGGTACCCCGCCCACCTCGGCGCGGTCCCTGCCCAGGGTGTCTTTTGGTTTGCTTTTTACTTTTATTTATTTATTCTGGCAGTCTGGGAATTGAACCCAGGGCCTTCACGTGGGGCTCCATCTCCAGCACTTTGTCTTTACTTTTTATTTTGAGACAGGTTCTCACTAAGTTGCCCAGGCTAGGCTCAAGCTTGCAGTCCTCCTGCTTCAGCCTCCCAGGGTGTTGAGAGTACAAGCACACCCGGTTTTTAGGGTGCAGTGGGTGGAGGACTTGGGTAAGGCAGGCCAGGCCTGGGGGCCAGCGCCTCTCTGCTTTACAAGCAGATGCGCTGAGCAAGGATCTGGGCGAGCAGAGCCGTCCAGGCCAGGCTCTCTGTTGAGGGTGACAGCCCGCGGCACTCACGAAAGCAGAGGAAAACACACTTGCTTTTTCTCCTCTCTGCCTCCCTTCTCTCCTTCCTTCCTGCGAAGCACGTGTTCCAGGAGGTGTGGCGAACAGCTGAGGGACCCCGCCTAGACGTGTGGGGGCCTCGCATGCCCAAAGCCCTGGCAAAGGCTTCCAGCAAAGAAAGAAAGAAAGAAAAATCCCCTGCATAGAGAATGTCCCGTGTATAGATTCACATGTACAGTTTATCTGCATTCAGTTCTGGCAGTCTGTGTGAAACCCAGCCTACCACCTCCCCCCAAGTCATGATTCCAAACGTCTGTTTTTTGAGGAGAAAGAAACGCAGCGAAAAGATAAGGGCGAAGGCACTCGGCCGCGTGTGCCGCACAGTCCGCCTCAGCGTCCGAGCCAGCGCAGCACCGCGGAGACAGGCTCACTTTCTGCCAGGCAGCGCGCGGTCACCGCACCCTTCCACCCGCCGCTTCCCAGCTGGTGCTGGTTACGGAGCCGGGATGTGCACCTCGAAAAGCAAAACCATCCCCAGACCCAGGCACCCCCAGAGCTGTGGCT